GGTGGCCCCCCCCCCCCCCTCCCCCACATCCGGCTGCTGAGGGTACACTTGTTAAAAAAGGTTGACAACCCCTGCTATAAACTATAATGGAGTGCTTTACTGTTTACAAGGAACATAAATATTTTTAATGTTGAAATTAACACTTCTTCTGTAATGAGTCAGTTCTTGCAAATTTATGCCAATTTTATTTATCAACAGCACATAAACTATTTTTTCTCATGTATCTTTTCCAGATATTCTCCTTTAGCAGATAGATTTTCCTGTCAGTTTCCTGGCCATGACTTGCCATCTGTGCTTTCCAAGTTCTCACTCCCAGTTTCATTATCAGAATTCAAGAATCCACTGGCTCCACCTATTCAGGAGGTAAGTTAGAGGAGGGCATGTGATACCTGTGTTGGGACACCTCATGATTGCCCAGCTACAGGGAGCAGCAATAGAGGTTACCTTTAGAATATCCTGTCAGGAACTTCAGAATTGTTGTATAGCTACTGTACAAAAAAAATCTGTTCCCCATATAGAATTTGTCTTCATCCCTACTTATCTATAATGCATACATGGAATTTAGCTTTCTGAAAAACAAAAAGACTGAGATCTATTATTACGTATTCCAGCTGATTTACACTTGCAGTCTGGATTGAAAAGCAGACTGTTTGCTTAGGCTTCTATATAATCCTGAAGGAATTTACTAATGTAGGAAATGTTAAACATACGTTTGTTCTGACTCCATGCTGAGTATAATATAATGTTTTCATGCCCCAAAATTTCAGATTTTGTTTTACTGCTTGCATGACCAATAACAATTGAGGTTTGAGCAATATCCTGAGAATTATTAAAAGGCTGGGAGCACCCAGACAGCAAAATCTATGGCAGTATTCAAGGCTAAGTAGTTGTTATTGCTATAAATTGTACATGTACAAAAACATCATTAAATGTTTTTTGGCTGTCCATTAATCCTCCCATCTCCATGAACATGCTGTATGTATGACATTTGGTCACTGTCCATATTTCTAAAGAATAATCCAGTAGTGTAGCCAGTCATATTACAAAAGGAGAGTTTGTTATAATTATAAGTTTATGTGAGGTGGTGCTCAAGGTGTACTAGCACAAGAATATTGCTAAGTCTAGTCAGTTCTCTTATCTGAATTAATGGAAAAACCCACATGCTTGAGAGAGAGGTAGAAAGGAATTGTAAACTTACTGTTGACATTTCTTACCCATTATAGTTGTTGACCAGTCTGCATCCTAAAAAATGATTAGCTTTTTCAGTTTTATCCTTGCTACTGTAACTTCAGAAGCTATTGTTATTCTTAGCGTTACTTTTTGTTTGCATGTCTCAGTCCTATCAGTTTTGCAAAATGTAGAGCACATTTCTGTAGGCATCCTGAAAAACAAGATTGGCATGAGGAACAAACTAGTTTTTGTTCTACAGAATCCTGGCTTTAATTAAATAAAAGTCTAGCTATTTTGGGAACAAGGATAACCTTGAAATTGTGACTGGAGTGGTATTATGAACTGCCCCTTTTGTTTCAGTAGGTGCTGACTCAGGACCTCAGATGATGCTCTAAAGGTCACTCTGTTAAACTATTTTATCATTTATTCAGCACATGACAAAGCGGGGGTAGTCAACCTGTGACATATGTGCAACAAGTGGCACAGGCAGTCTCTATGTGGCATGTGGCAGACTGGGGAGGGAGCAGGGAATAAAAAGCAGAACAACAGATCAGTTGGGAAGGGGATTAGAGTGGCACTTATAGAGGGTGAAGACTTATTTTGTGGCACGCCTGCCAAAAAAGGTTGGCCCTCACTATAATAGAGGATGAAGACTGGTGGTGTATTATGTGCAAAGGATTAGAAGGTATGTGAAAGACATACATTAAGGTTAGGATATTTTTAACACATAGTAACTACTGAGAAATAAGATAGGTTTCACTTTCATGAGACAAGGCTCATTTTTTCAGGTTGGGAAATACTGGGTCAGGGAGAACATTTTATGTCTTGCTTTGGGTGTTAGAATGTTCTTGTTTTCTACGTGAAAAAACCCTTGTTCTGAAGTTACTTCTACCTGTTGTAGTGTTGTACGGAAGTAAATTAATTTCCAGAAAGAAGAGAATATTTACCATTGTTCAGTTAGCCCCTCAAAAGTAACCAAATGCCAAAGCTGAGTTTGCACATTCAGTGTTACTTTGATTGTTCTGGATGCATAGGAGGAAACAGTCCTGGATTGTAAATGAATACAATGATGCAGTATAATTCTAATATTATAAAAGCCTTAGTTTGTCTGTCTGTAACGCTTTATTCGCAGTCTGGTTGGTTGCCTCAGCAGCCAGTCAGAGTACTCTGGACAGACAGTGACACATGATGGAATGCTATCATGACAGTGGGGACTGAGGGGCCTGAGCTCCACCATGATGGAGCGGAGGGGCGAGGCCAGCAGTGCCAAAGCGGTGGTGGGGAGGCAGGGAGCAGCCTTGGCCCGGGCCCTGGCCCCAGCCTGATGTGGTGGGGCTGTACACAGGCCTCTGTCTCTGCCCGCCTCCCTGATCATTCTTATTGGGCAGTGTGCTAGTTCTAATATGATAAAAGCCTTAGTCTGTCTGTCCGTAATGTTTTCTTCACACTCTGATTGGTTGTCTGAAACAACCAATCGGAGTGTGTGTGTTTGGACAGACAGAGATACATGGCAGAGCACCATCATGACTGAGGGGCCGGAGCTCCACCATGACGGAAGAGGGATGGAGCAGGGGGACGAGGCCAGAAGCCCCAAAGCGGCGGTGGGGAGGCGGGGCATGCCTGAAGTGGGGGGGGAATGGATGCACATCTCTGTCCCTGCCTGCTCCCGTCCCCGTCATTCTTGATGGGCATTTTGCTAGTTCTAGTATGATAAAAGCCTTAGCCTTTCTTTCCATAACACTTTATTCTCACTCTGATTGGTTGTCTGAAACAACCAATCAGAGTGCGAGCATTTGGACTGGAGCTGGTGGCTGCGCCACCATGATGGCCTGAGGTGAGAGCGGCGATGGATGGCGGGGTGCAGCAAGTCCTGGCTCCAGCCCAAGCGGCGGGGGGGGAGGAGTTTGTTGCTCAAGGATATGATCGTTGCTCAGGGTTACGATGCTTGGTTGTTGTTCAAGGATACGAACCTCAAAGCAGAAAAGAAAACCATTCCTGCAAAGAGGAAAGGCAGCAGAAGGGCTGGCAAACCCTCCTGGCTTAATAGGAACATTGCAGTCCTCTTAAAAAAGAAAAAAGAGGTGTACTCACTGTGGAAGCTATGGATGATCCTCAAGGAGGACTATACAACAATGGCCAGCACCGGCAGGGAAATGATTAGGAAAGCCAAGGCGGCGATGGAGTTTAGGTTAGCTAAAGGAGTCAAGGATAACAGAAGTCCTTCTTTAGTTATGTAGGCAGTAGAAGGAAAACAAATGGAAGTGTGGGACCCCTGATTAACACCTCGGGACAGCTGGTAACCGACATTCAAGAAAAGACTGAACTCCTGAATATCCACTTTGCTTTGGTATTTCACCGGACCATGGGGAATGTCAAGCGAGATAAGTCTCGTAGGGTACATGCCAGGACTGACAGCCTCCCCACTGTGGATGCTGAGTGGATGCAATACCAATTAGAAAAGCTAGACATTTATAAGTCAGCAGAACTGGATGGACTTCATCCAAGAGTGCTGAAGGAGCTGACTGAAGTCATCACGGAACCCCTGGCATAGCTCTTTCAGAATTCGTGGCACACGGGAGATCCCTGAGGATTGGAAGAAGACGAAGAGGGAGGACCAGAGCAACTATAGGCCAGTCAGCCTCACCTCCATCCCAGGGAAAATCCTGGAAAAGCTCATTAAAGTATCTATGTGTGATACGCTCACAGAGGGTAAGATTCTGAATGACAGCCAGCATGGCTCTTGTCTTGTCTTACCAATCTCATCTCCTTCTACGATCAGGTCTCTCACCACCTGGACACAGGAGACGTGGTAGATGTTATAGACTTAGACTTCCAAAAGGCTTTTGATCAAGTATCGCACAATATCCTTGTGGGGAAACTGGAAGATTGTGGACTCAGCTACTCAACAGTTAAATGGGTGGGAAACTGGCTACACAGTAGGAACCAGAGAGTTCTCATGAACGGATCTTTGTTGTCCTGGTGCGAAGTGGCCAGTGGTTGAACCAGGGCTTTTCAACATCTTTATCAATGATTTTGACGGGGGACTGAAAAGCTCACTGGCCAAGTTTGTGGACACTAAATTGTGGGGCAGTGTGGTCACGCCAGATGATAGGTTGCAGATACAGGAGGACCTGGACAGGCTCGAGAGTTGGGCAGACCAGAACCAGATTTCATAGATTTCATAGATTTCATAGACATTAGGGCTGGAAGGGACCTCGGAAGATCATCGAGTCCAGCCCCCTGCCCAAAGGGCAGGAAGTCAGCTGGGGTCATAGGATCCCAGCAAGATAAGCATCCAGTTTCATCTTGAAGGTGTTCAATGAAGGCGCTTGAACCACCTCCGGTGGCAGGCTGTTCCAGACCTTGGGGGCTCGGACAGCAAAGAAATTCTTCCTTATGACTAGCCTGAAACAATCTTGAAGTAGTTTGTGACCATT